ATTCACCAGCTCTAGCACCATGTAACTTCTGGCTCTTCCACAAAGTTAGAATAGCCACAAAAGATAAATGTTTTGAATTGATTTAGGACATTGAGGCGGCCATACCAGTGCAACTAAAGACACTCGGGAAAGAGGACCTCCAGAACTGCTTTAGAAGGTGGTAAGGACAATGAAATACATGTTTTCAAAGGGAGGGAGAAGCATATTGTAATACCCTCTCTCTGGAAGCATTTTGAGGGGAATTCATGGCAATATTTTTTTTACTGCAATACTTTTAAAATACTGAAATATTCATTGTACTTTCTGATCACACCACAGAGCACTCTTTATTTACTTCACTCTGAGCTCTCCCAAGCCTGCTTCAGAATGACTAAGTGTGTCCAGAATCAGCCACTTGACATTACTTGCGTTTTGCAGAGCAGAAGTTTGTGTGGTAGAAGCTCCTCATGGCCTGGATGCCAGGCTGTGTCCATCTCTGCTCTAGGTCTGGTTGTTTTGAGCAATTATTACCAGGCAGGCCACAGAGGCACTTATGTACTCTCAGGAGGATGTCATGCCCATAGTTCATAGAAACCTGATGACGTGACTGTTACCTTATTCTGTAGATGAGGAGGCTGATCTCTTGTGCTGATTCTAAAGTCCAGAATCTTAGCTATTCTACTATTCCTGGCAGGGGCATAATACTCTCAGGATATTCTTCAGACAATAACACATACTTTTAATCTTTCCAGTGATTATTATATAATCCAATATGCTTGTTTAAACTCTAGTTACATAGCTATTTTATTGTCTAGTCCTCATGCCAGAATCATTCTTTTGAGGAAGTAGGATTTAAGAATAAGGTGTAAACACTTACCTTCATTGTACAAGAAGCGTGAATGTTGGATTCACATGAGTGTGGGCTTCGACACTGTCACTGTGTAACCTTGAGCAAGTGCATGATGTGCCATGAGCCTCACTTTCTCCAGGTACAGATCCTGATGCAGTGCCTCCCTCAGAAGGCAGACGCCTTAGCTGTTCTGCTGTTTACATGAAGTAGGGCCTTTCCCTCTCTTTGATTTACTACATCAAATCATGGAGAAAATTGTGAGGCATGGGTCATGATAAACTACCTAGAAACAACAATGTTGGTTAAATTGTTCTTTAAGTGAGAGACAGTATTTGTATTGGTCAAGTTTTCCCATTGTTGGAAAAAATTCATGACATACGCAATGTAAAGGAGGAGAGATTCTACAGTTTCAGAAGAATCTGTCCATGACTGGTTTATTTCAAAGCAGGAACATTATGGCAGAACAGAGATGCTTAGAGGAGATAGCTCAGAGGAATAAGCACCTGCCTGGAAAGCACAAGGTCTTAAGTTCTATCCCTGCTACAAAAAAATATAGAGATGCTTAGTTCATAGTGGCTTGGATGCAGAGCAGGGGAGCAGTGCTGGAAATGGAGAGATAATACCCAAAATTGTGTTTCATTAGCCCACCTAGGCACACCAGAATTGTGCTGTAGTAATCCACTGGGCAGCCTCCAAGCCAATCAGGTTGACAGTTAAGCTGAGCTACCACAGCTCTGTCAACACATTGCATGACAGCTTGTGACCACATCACATTTTACATCTCTTCAGTCAGTGGAATTTGTAATCAAATGAAGATCATATTTTAGTACTGTCTATCCAGAAGCATTTTGTGCTCAGGAACAAGTTAAATGATTAATCAGAGTTTAATGTTAATGTGTTAGACGTGTTGTGTGAGGTCAATTGTTTGAAAATCTCCATTGAAGTTTTCTTTGAAAATTTTGAAGCACTTAATCTTGTTGCGGAGTAGAGTGGAAGGAAAATAACAGAATCAAGCTCCTGGTAAGAGGAGAGAATGTGACCTTTGGAAATGAGATGGAGATTTGAAAAGAGTTCATCCCACACTGGACAATTCTCTTATTCTGTCTGTCCCAGAATCTGGTGGTGACTCTTCTCCACATCAATTTACTACTATTAATCAGTTCTACCTAGATATGTGTACCTCAAGCCAGTGTTTAAGCAGACAGGGTCTTGATGTTTATAGAAAATAAGCAGTTTCATGTGGTAAGGAGTACATTTCAATTGGTTGTTCAAAAAGGAGCCTTGCAAGCTTCTGTTTGGCTGAGGGATGGTGTGTTTAGGAAGGCATTGTCTTTTTTGCCCCCCAAGAGCTATCTATGAGACCAGGGCAAGATTGGATGTCTGTGGGTATCTTTTGGATGTTAAAAGTTTTCTAACTCTTGGAGCCAGGCTCAATGCTGCAAGCCTTTAATCTCAGCCCTGAAGGTGGATGGTGAGGTTACAAGAGTGATAGTTCAGGCTCTAACTTTACCAAGACTTTGTGGCAAAATTAACAAAAATATAAAGGGCTGAGGATGTAGTTTCAGTGATGGAGATTCCCTGAATTTGATTCCCAGGATTACCTCCCAAAACCCAACCACTGTGGAAGAATGGAATTTTGCTTTGACTTTGGTCTTCTGGGTAAGAAATCTTATAAATGAGTTCATTTTGAGAACTATAGCAACAGAACTATCTGAGATAGAGAAATGTTGCTAATATATGTAGAATTACCTTCTGCAGTCTACTTAAAAGAGAGTAGCATTGAGTAATTAAGGCCTAGAATTGGAAGGTGTGGATATAAATACCAACCCAACATTTTACTGCCTTTGGGGTGTGCGAAAATTTTCTGAATCACTTCTGCTCAGTTTTCCACATGTAGCAAAAGGATAGTAATGTGTCAACAAGGTCACCTGGATTAATAAATGAAATAAAGAATTTAAGTGTTCAATATAGTTTCTGTAGCATAGAAAGCAACCAGTAAATGCTTACCATTGGTAATACAATATGATAAAATTTTCTTTCTTACTCTCTCCTACATCTTTCCTTTTTTCATTTCTTCCTTTTTTTAAGTGGCTATCACACAGTAGATTTAAAACTAATTTCTGTGATCATTAGATTGTACATTCTTCTTCTTCGTACATCATTGGAGATTGTCAGACTAAAACCATCTGCCTTAGATTAGTATGTAACTGTGCAGTTTCTACCACTGATTAGTTATGAAAGCCAGGCATGTAAGATATGTAAGATAATTTGTTCCAATTCCCATGTATTTCTAACTTTTTCACCCCTTTATGGTAGAAAGACAAGAAATGGACTTAGAAAGTTTTTTGGTGTCCAGAATGGAGAAATACAGCAAATTGTTTCACTTAGAGAGTTCTCTTTACATCTCAAAATGATGCTAATTCTAAATTTTTATTCTGCTACAGCAATGAAAATCATTGCCTTCATAACTACTCAGATTAATTACAAAGATTATTAACATGTGTAGGTGCTTTAGATAGAGGTGCTATGGAGTGGACATATTTTTAAGAAATCCATAAAACAATCTGCCATGTTGGGTTTTGTTAGATGCAGTAGGCTGATGGGGACTGACTTCTCTTTTATCATGTATTAAAATTGTTCTGTGTATTGAGAATGTGGCCCCTTCAGAAATGAATGTTGTGGTGTTCTAGTAGAACACCTACTTAATCAGAAATGGACTTTTTTTCTAATGACGAACTGTCAATTTTTTTTATTTTAGAGGATTTTTATCAATGTTTAGGTTCATGTGAAGCTTTTAATTTGGCTACATGCCAAGTAGTCAAGATTTCAAACATTACTAAGAACTTAAAATGGGAGATAATTCTATTCCAATGCATCCCAGTAATTACTGATAATTTTTGCATTGGGTGGGAGATGTTGTTGGGCACAGTTCTCCTCACTCCATGTGGAACCAGAGCTACACACTGACGACTGTCACAATAGGAGAAGTGTTCCTGAAAACCTGTGGGTCGCTGCTGGTAGCAACGGTGGTCTTCCTTCACCAGTATGTTTATATTCAGATTGTTGTGCTCCTGCCATTCAAATGTTTCCATTTATTTCCCCAAATAAGGTGGAAGACAAAGGCTTGATTAGGGAGTAATAACAGAATAAAATCTCCTTTGTAATAAGCTTCTAGTGTTGTTATTAAAACAAGCTTATTATGAAATATTTCATATTTTAAATAACACTTTTATATAATACCATGTTTTAATGGAAACCATAAGTGAAACAAATGTTAAGTTTCTACTCAGTGCATGTGGAGTTTTCATCTGTCAGTCATAATTAGAAACATCTCAGAGATGTATTAGTGAGTTTAATGTTTATGTCAAAGGATATTGAGTGACAGTGTGTACATAAGGCTCAGTCTATTTTTATTCCTCTGTTGGTTAACTTGAGAGTGTTGGTTGAGGTGCCCTGGCATCTCTGTCCCTTTAGCTTGTTGAAGATTGTGCCTGTGTGACCTGCCTGGGTGACTTCTGCTTGTTTAATTTAAGAGTTTGCGTGCTGACCAGCCTTCAGCAGTGTTTTGTGTTAAACAGCTGTGTGTTTCACATGAGTTGGACAGTAAGGACTTTGTGAACATGCCCCCTCCTCATTTCTCATACAATTCAGGATTTTTTGCTTTTCCTTTGTATGTACATCTGACTTATCCTGCCCTGATTCTCTCCAAGTCCCCCAAACAGAGATGACTATTGATGGGTTGTGCATACCCTCAGACTTCCGAGACCATTGCCATTTGAACCTTTCAAGACATGGCATGAATGCAGCTATGCACAATGGTTGCAAAACAGAAAGTAGCTGTCTAGACGGCCAGTGTCCAGTAGGCTAGTTGAAAGAGAGCTACTCTGCAGTCCAGGGAGCCATTGATAGAACATGCTAGCAAGGCATGTCTGGACACCTCCAGACATTCTTATGTGGTCATTCCGGGGCTACATGGTGTCTAGACACACTTGCAAGCTCCTAAAGATAGGATGGAATTTCCAATTGGGTTCCAAAGATTTCCTGGGTTAAACTTCCCAAGAGATAAAGGATTTGTGAAATGATATGCCCTAGTCCACTTTGAGAGAAAGATAATTACTATCACTGGCTTCCTGTTTGCAAATAAACATTTGAACTCATTTGTTCCTTGCAGGGTGAAGAAACTAAAAGCCTGACCCTTGTCCTGCGTAGGGATTCTGGCTCCCTGGGATTCAATATTATTGGTGGCCGGCCATGCCTGGTATGTTAATTGCTAAAATGTGTTTTCCTTTCATTTGGGTAGCTGGAAGAGAGGGAAGGTTTGAGGAGTGAGGGATGAAGTCCTTGCTGACTTGTTCTGCTCTCTGTAACTAGCACATGATTTGCCTAATATCCTCACTCAGGGATTTTAATATTGTTGTGGTTGCTAAAAATAATATTGCCCTAGTGATACAGCAGCTTACGCAAATAGGTTATCTTTGGGGATGCATGCCGGATTGTATAGTATGGGGCTGCTTGAAGTTGTGTGGGATGTGTGCAGATGGATCTAGGTACAAATCACGCTTCTGAACTGAGCTGGAGTGTAGGATACCTGAGTAGAAGTTGGACCTCAGGTTTGTCAACTCTTCATTAGTCAGGGACAGTGCCCTACTATCTGGGTTGGATTGCTTCACATTTTCCTCCCACTGCTGCTTTACAGCCACCCTATTCATCATCGACCCCTCCTCAGAAAGAAGAGGTCAACTTCATGTCTGTCAAATGAGCTTTGAGAAAGTCTGCAGAAAGGGCTCTGAGGACTAGCAAGGGTGTGTTTCAGGATCTTGCCTTTCAAAAGGGATTAGCTGAGTGTGTGGAATCCCTTGCTCTGTTCTTTATCTAACCATTTCCTCATTTATTACCTTAACACAGTCAAAGGAAAGGAGAAAAAATTAATTTGTTTAGCAAATAAGTACTTAATATGAGTTGCTTGCTAGTGGCTGAGGGGTCTACTAGAGACCAGGGAGCTAGGGTCACTGCACTCAGGGAATGTATGTCTTGGTGGGAACTTTGGAAAAGTTCTTTTGGAAAAGAAATCAATATGGAAACTGTAGGTTAGGAGAAATGCCATGAAGAAAGGAAATGGAAGATGGCATATGAGAGGTTCCAAGAAGCCAAGGACATCATCAGAAAGGTAGGAAAATCAGGGGGAGATCTGATGAGTGCACTACAGGGTGACAAGATACCAGCCTTCCAGGTGGAGGGCGAGTGTGCTCTGCCCTCATGCAGCTCACATCCAGATGGGGTTGAATGGGCCTACTGAGACTGGAGAGGATGGCACTGTCTTCCTTGGAGTGTTACTCTGTGTCCAGATCCAGCTAGAGATGTCTTGGGGAAGCAGTCAGCACTGGAGGATGAGGCATCCTAGAGAGAGGCCATTGGAGCTGAGATTGTAAAGATGAGTAAGAGTTTGCTAGATCAGAATAGCATTGTGTGTGTGTGTGTGTGTGTGTATGTGCGTGTGCACACATGCATGTGTGCATGTATGTATATAGTTGAATGCTCTTGACTATAAACAAATGGGGAACACACAGGTACAAAATACCTGTCTATATTCACTACTGAGATAATGTATGAGCATTTTAAAAGAGTTAGAGGCAAAGGAGGAATTTAAACAAATTAAAGTGGACTATGAAAACAATTAACTTGTTTCTTCATTTGCACCAGTGCATTGTGTACACATGCCTTTTTTTAAAGACACTGAGCTTGAAAATAATGGATAAGACCCAGGTTGGGGGCTTTGGTAGTCCCTACAAGGCCTGTGCCAGGGACAGAGTGAGGACTTGGGGGACTACAAATAGAGTGATTTGTGTCAATGGGGTGGACAGAGAAGTGGTCAGAAAGAGGCTGAAAGAATAAGACAGATTTGATCCTAAAAGGCCTAGTCAGTTATGGGGTTGGGCATTTGAATTAGCAGGAATAATAAGTAGCCAAAGCATGGCTTCACGCAAAGGAAGTGACACAAAGAAATAGGCTGATTGACTCTGTCATACTAAAGATTAAACCCAGGGCCTTCATGCTGAACAACATCCTAGCCCTCTTTTAATTTTTATTTTTAAAACAGGATCTTGTTAAACCCAAGCTGAGCTTCAACTCCAGATCTTCCTGCCTGAGCCCCTGAAGTGCTGGGTTTGCATGTGTGCACCACAGTGCCTAGCTATGAAGAGATTTATGAATATGCTTAGTTTTTAGCCAAAGCTAGAGTGTCAAAAACAGACAAGCAAACAAAAAAAAGTTTTATTATAAGAAATGACAGCTTAGCTATAAGTGATATGTAGCCATTAAAATGATGAATGTTATCTGTCACATACACCGTTTTAAATTATGCCATTAATGTATGAATGCATAGGTGAGTGGGGGCAGCTGTCATTTTCACTTTGCCGAACCCAAGGAATGCACTCACATATTTGTGTTCCCCTTGTTATCTCTATGGAATTCTTAGGAAGCTGTAGTCTCATGTGAGGTTGGCGTAGTTTTCATTTTTACCCATTACCCAGTTGGTTGAGATCCTGGGCTGCAAGTCATCATGTTGTTCAGCTCCTGCCTGGCAGCGAGGGGTTGGCATTCCCCAACCTTGGGAGGGGTGAGAGAGCCCCAGCAGCTAAGGGTTTATCCCTATTAAACAGGAAAACAGCACCAGATGCTCAGCACAGTAGTCCTTGACTTATCTTTGCAATTATCTTCCATACTCTACCCACCCATTGTTATCAGAAACAACTTTAGTAGACTAAATTCACTTGGCTTCTTAGATGTCTTAGAAGTTTCTGCAGCCAAAAAATCCTGAACTAGGAAGACCTCATCACTCCTTCCAGCTTAACCACATCAAAGCCCAATGTTTGCAAAATGCTGGGATGGAGAGGTGTGTCTGTGGTTGGTGATTGCTGAGAAACCTATTATGTTAGTGCCAATGAGGAGGGTGGTTGGTTTCTATGCCTCACCAGGAATGAAGTGACATGCCCAGCCTCACTGGGAATATGTTACTTCCTTGTGCTTATCCAAGAGTATGTTGCAGGTTCTTTTCTTTTTCCTCTAAAAGGGTGACTCAAGTACAACCCAGACCTGAATTGGTAGCTTTCGTGAGTGTTCACACTTTATGTGGTCTTTTGGCAAGAACTATTTGCACGTCCCCCAGAGGAAAATTTAATCCCACATGGATATATTTTCCATAGTGTTAAACAAGACTGTCCTGATTAGCAGAAATAGCTTAGCAAAGTCTAAATGTATTCTATACTGTTGCTGGGAAAGCCGACAGTTGCTGAGTGTGCCCTAAGAGCCAAATGAGAACAGTGCAAACACGGCATTAGCACTGGAAGCAAAGCGTAATCCAGATGACGCGTGTGTGTTCCAGGGAGTTCCAGGTAGGTGCTTGGTTGGCTTGTGAAATGGTCCAACCTAGAGGCTCTGCTTCAGGCTTGTCATTGTACGGTACTGTAGGCAATGCTCCTAGTAAAATCATATCATTCATTCATTAGTTCTCATAATCCTATAGGAGCAGCAACCAGGTGGAGCAGCAGACTTTTCACTTAAGCCTTTGACAAGAGCACTTTATTGCCAGGCACCCTTGGGATGACAGCAATCCCTTTCATTTTTGTTTTACTAAAGCCAGCAAAACAAAATAAACCCACATGTTAGTTCACCTTGATAAACAGCTCTAACTTAGAATGTTAGGAGAGGGACCAAAGAGCAAAGAGATGGCTTCTAAGAGAGAAATTTGTGATGAATGAGCTTGAGCTCATTGGTTTTGTGCTTTTTGTGTTTTCTTATCAACCCACACCACTGTCTTAATTTAACCCAAATTCTGCTGTTTGTCCTTGCTTGTTCCTCTCTGATTTTTGCTTAACTTTTGTTTTCTTTTAGAATAATTAGTTATGTAGAGTTCAGTATTTTGTAAAACAAACCAAAGCCAAAATTCCATTCTTTATATCCCTCTTCCTCTCTGTCCAGGAAAGGTAAAGTGGTTAAATCAAAGGAAATACAGATTTCTTTCCCCTTGATATGTTGAAATCAACTCACAGGGAACTCACACTTGCTCATAAATCTTTGGTGGCCCAGTGAGACCCTTCAGGTTCTTCTGTTGGGATATTTTTCAGCCTGAAATGTAGACTAAGAAAACTGTGTGTACATATTTTGAAATATTTTCTCCATTGGAGAGAGTATTACACTCAAAGCAAGTACAAGGGAGTTGACTTAGTCCCAGTATAAAACCAAGCTGTGATGCTTTTTAGATGTGTGACTATGGCCGACTATCTTAACCTCTCTGGGTCTCCAGTTTTTACTCTGTAGAATGAATAAGTTTTTATGCTTACTGTGTAAATGAATTAGTACAGTGTACCTGGTATATATTCTCAGTATATACCATGCAGCACAGTGTACCTGGTATATATTCTCAGTAGGTAGAAGTTGGTGTGCACTGTGCTCCCTTTTGATGTGGAGAGCCATCCAAGTGCCTTGGCACGAGTGCCTCAGTGAGTCTACTAGGAGAAGCAAGGGGCACAGAGGTACTTGACAGTCATGGGTGAGTGCCCCATGGGCCCATTTTCAGCAATGGGATGTCCAACAGGGATGCATTTGGGCATAGCTGATGTAACACAGCAAGCACACCCAGTATTGCTGACCCTTCTCCTGAAAGAGTGTTGATGGGATCCAGATGGCAGGTAGAGATGTATTTTTATCATGTGGGAATACAGGTTGAGAAAAACACTTCATTGCCATTTTAGGTTGTGATTTTCATTTGTTCTGAAGAATCATATGAAGGAGAGGGGTGTGTGTGTGCGCGCGCGTGTGTGTGTGTGTGTGTGTGTGTGTGTGTGTGTGTGTATTTTGCAGGGAGTCCAGAAGGTGAGAAGGTTTTCCCAACCTCTTGCATTTGTAGTGGTCAGTTGAAGCACATTCAGAGTCATCCCTTTCCCTGTTAAGCTGGGTTCTGTGGAAAGAAGAAAATGCTATATATTCATAGTCACCATGAAATACTAGATGCTGGTGTCTTTATATATTCATGCAGAGTAAGTATTAAAATAGATTTTATGGCAGTATGAGGAAGAATTTATGTTATAATGTTATAGATTTTGAAGTTCTGGGGGAACATCTTCAGCTTACTTTTCAAATGATTTTGTTTGGAAACAACATATGTCCCTGCCATTTAATTTACAAATTCATCTGTTAATCGCTAGAAATTTAATCCACACATTTGGAAAGAATTCAATGCAGTGCTACTTGGAAAGAAGTTCCTCAACAAGCTGGGAAGGTTTTTATGAGCATGTTGGCACCTTTTGATTTCAAGAAAAGGAAATAATTGAGTAGTAAGCTTCTTCTTAGAAAATCTTAGTCCTGAGGTTTAATTCAGAGATCTAAGGGACCTGAAGGAGGTTGGAGATCAGAATCTAGGATTTGTGGGAGGGATGTGAACTTTTCTGATGCAAATCAGAAGAAAGCCAAACTACCTGTTTTCAAGATCAGATTATTAGATATTGACTACCTTAATGATGCTCTGTGCAGGTGAGGATGTGAGAGAACACTTTGTTTAATGAATTATCAGCACAAACTCTCTGAGAGGCAATTCAGCAGTATTTATCAATTGTACATATTTGACCTGAGAGTTTCAGTTGCTAGGGATTTGCCCTAGGTGTACACTAGCAAAGATATTTCAAAATCAAGTAGGAGTGTATTACCACACCACTGTTTCTCATAGCAACAACTCACGACCTTGTTCATTATCTAAATGTAAGGATACTTTTCAGCCACTTCAAGAAATAGGTTGGGGCCAGGGTGTGTGGCTCACTCCAGTCCCAGCACCAACAATGGTGGGGGGGAGAGAGGGAAGGGGAAAATCAGGTAGGAAGAAAAAGAATGAGAAAGGAAGAAAGAAACAGAAATAAGACACAGAGAAGGAAACAAAAATGCATGATTGATGATAGAAGATCACCAAGATTTGTAGCATTAAAGTGACAGAGGCAAAGGTGTAAGAGTAGGGCTGGCATGACCCCGTTTTATGTTCATGAAAAAGGAAGATGCTTAGAAAGGTGATGTGTTAAAACATTCTGTGAATAAATACTTTACAGGGCTGGCTAGAAGGCACCTGCTTAGACACAGGGACAAGGGTTCGATCTCTGGTGTTCCGTGCCAGCCCCACCCCTGAGGGCATACCCCTGAAGGCGACTGAGACTGGGCATGGTGACGTGTGCCTGTGATTCCAGCACTTCGGAGGCTGCAAACAGGACAATCACTATGAGTCCAATCTGTGTAGTGAGACCCTTTAGACCCTGTACTAAAGTACATTTTTTAAAAAATAGATGCTTTATAGCACAAGAAGGCCAATGGGTCCAGGGTAGACATTGAGCATTTTCTGACTTTTGCTATGGTTTGAAGTATTTTAAGATGTGTATGTGTTAATTTTAGGTGAAAACAAATTAGACAAAACAGCTTTTACACTATGGCAACTTTCGACAAGCAAGGGTCAGTGGTGGTTTTAAGAGTGCAAGCTTTATTTCCATGCCCAGCTTCATGTCTAGCATTCATGCCTGTGTTTTTTTAACCCAAAGGACAACCAAGATGGATCATCCAGCGAAGGAATCTTTGTATCCAAAATAGTTGACAGTGGGCCCGCAGCCAAGGAAGGAGGCCTGCACATTCATGACAGGATTATTGAGGTATGTGAACACTGGCCAGTGTCTGTTCATAGGCTGAATGCCATCCCATCTTTGCCTGGCTCACAGGACAGTGTTTGGTTGGGGAGGGAGTCCTCAGCTGGTGCATGGTTAGGTAGTTGGTGCACTTCTCTGATCATGTGGGACCAGACTGAGTGTTGATTGCCTTGGTGTTAAGTTTTTGTTAAATATAGAGAAGCTGGATTATGAATGGCGTGTTCACAATTTGGATCCTTTCATGCGAATTTGCGTCTGTTTTGTATGCTTCAGTTACAGCTTTGTGCAAAAACCATTGGATGGTTGTATGTTAGTTAAAACCAGATGAGCAATCCCTGTTGTACAAATTGTGACTCTGTATATGTTGGTTATCCAGGAAGAATTGTCAGCTTTGGAGTCATCCTAATATGCTTAGAGCGCAGAGCACATAATTTCTCCACATGCATTATTTTCTTTTTCTATACTTGTCATCTTAGCTCTTCTCTAGCTCTCCTCTGTGTGCTTTGAGCGCCTGGATACATCCAGGTAAAGGTTGATGGTAGAAATCACTCACACATCCTCAGGAGTGCTTTCAGGTTCAATTCTTTGCACACCATTTTAAACCTTTGCAGAACAGGTTGATACATTTGTATTGGGCAGATGGGTTGCTCAACCCCACCCTATGGCACTGTGCAGTGAAGAGAGAATTATTTGTTGTCTCTGTATGGGCTTTAGTTGGCAAGTTTTTGTCACAGAATTAGTATTTTGCTGATGTTTTTAACTACTCTAATTTCTTTTCTAATGGATACAGCCATGGACCAAATTGCTTTGCTCTCCTATTTGAGAATAAGTAAATATGAGACTCCAAGACAATATCCTGGATCCCATAAGAAACTTACCCACAGGCATCACAATAATGTAGTACGTTACATAGGAAGCTAGAGAAATGGCATGGGCACCAGTGGGTGTTTGTTGTTCTGGACACATTTGTGTTGTGTCTGTATTTTCCTGAGTGTTTTCATGGCCCATTTCAAAACTTTGGATTCAACGGCAGCTCGACCATGAACTAAGCCATAAGTGAATTTCATATAACCCTCTGGCAGGTGGCCACATGCCTATCCAGGGAAAGGCACATTAAGAAGACAGAGAATGGAGCCTGAATTTTCCAGTCTCATCTGAAAGAATTCTAAGGTGTAGTATAGTATGTTTCAGGGTAATATAAGTCCTCAGGAAAATGCCCCGTTAAATCTGCCAGGAAAAATGAACTAAAGAGTTAAGGTACAAGGCTCATTGCTGTGAGCAGCTGGGTGAAGTGTAGTAAGGAGGATACTTGGTTTTGTTTTACAGAGAATCTTAATAGTGTCCATCCCCTTTGACCTTTAGAAGTGCCCTTAAACTTGGAGATCTTGTTGCCTTGTACTTTAGAGTTGCTTTTTGAACTTCCCTGGTCAGGAGAGGGAATTTTCCTGGACTCACACACATTATTTACTGTCGGGGTATTTTTTTTTTTTTTTTTAAAGCAAATAGATTTTCTGAGACTATTGTTCAAAGAGATAAGTACAGCCTTTGTTACCAAGGGTTTGGGGAGCAGCCAGTTTCTCTAAGCAATGGAATTTCATTGCTCTTATGTTTTGCAAATGAGAAATCTACAGCTGGGCAGGATTTTCTCTTGGCAGAGGATGATCTGTATTTGAAACATTCAGTATGGTTTCTGGTAAGTCACATTCCCCCTTTGGAGAGTATGTAAAGTATTAATCATGTTCCAGTGTTGAGGTGGAAAGAAGGATGATCACAATAGGAAAACGATATATGTATAATTGCAATTGACACACCGTGCCCTTCTCTTGTCAAGTTCTAATCTCTTTTGACATAACACAGTGATTCCCACAACTGAAAATATGTTCTCTGGCTCACCTCGGCCGAGTCTGAGCTATTAGCAAGGGGCATGAGTTTGAGTGTACGTGTGTATGTGTGTGTGTGTGTGTGTGTGTGTGTGTGTGTGTGTGTGTTTTCACTGAAAAGAGTCAGAGACTTTCAGGTTTGCCACCGGATAACTCTCTCTTCAGGAGAGAGAGCAAATTATCACCAGAACATTACCATCACAACTTTAATTCTTGCAAAGTCCAGAAAGACAGAATTTTGTCCTTATTGCAAAGTTACTTTGCTTTGACTGGTATCTGTGTTTGTTTGTTTGTTTGTTTGTTTTACAAACAAGAGCTGTGGTCTTCAACCATATTAGAGGCAGAACTACTCTACCCCCTCCTTATACCAAATATTTTGAAATGCAACCAATGTAGCAATGGAATTAAATTCACAAGTTTATATACATATATATGATATGTATGCATAGAATGCAGACAGACATACGCATGGAACTGTAAAACTATATATAGTTGTAGAAAGAACAAGGTAGCATATATCAAGTATGTGTATCCATATGTAACTGCTTGGACTCAGTGACTTAAGAAGGCGTGGTGATGCTGTGAGATGCCAGTGCCTCTATGCAGGTGTGCTGTAACACACCCATAGCTGCCAGTTGCATTCTCCACAGGCCAGAAGCGGTGGCTGGGAATGATGGGCTTCCCTAGGTTAAATGTCTGCTCCACACCTGGCTGCATCCAGGTTCATCACAGGTATCCTGGTCTAGGTGGACAGATTGTCATTATACCTCCTGCCTCATGTCTGAGCTGTAGAAAATTTCCACTCTGTGTTTGCTGCTGTTTTTGTATCTTCATCACCTTCACATCCTATAAGCTACCTCTGGGCCTTTTTACCACCTCTGACCCCACCTTGAATTGTCCCTATTTAGGAAATCAAGTTTAGTTTCACCTACTATCTTTTAGCATTAATTCGAATCCGTAACTGTCACAGTGATTTTGTTTCTTCCTCCCAGCCTGCTTCCTGAGCTGTCATTTAAAGACAACACAAGGCTCTTTTACTTCTGTGCCATTGCAATTCTTATAGAAATCAGACACTTTGGTTCTTTCCAACAGTTTGAAACTGTTGGAAGAATCTTTCCAGAGCACAGAGTGGGTTGGCCAGTGGAAGCAGGTTTCTTTACCAGTAGAATACCTTTCTCTGTGGATGCCAGCTTAACTTACATTAGGCCAGTCATATTCCACCCTACTCTACTATAAATTATTTCAGAGGGTGAGAGAGTTGAGAAATGCCATAAGGTTAATATTATCATCAAAAGACCCCCTAGGATTTGTGGGGAATATACTATCTCTCTATAAGGCCAGGAAACTTTAGATCACTGTTCCCCCAGTTGATTACCACAATGTACCACATGGCTTACTGGGCCTGTTCTCAGAATACTTCATTTGACAAAATGCTTGTACTAAAAAGAGCACAAGAAAAGCAAGACCTGTAAAGAGACCAGCAAATTCACTCTGAGGCCTGTGCCATGTGGTACATTGTTTCTCTCTGTCTACTTTTTGTTTGGCTCTGGCACAGGCTGCTTGTAATTGAAATGCCCTACTGACATCCTTTTCCTAAGACTGGCCAACATTGTCCATATCTGTATTTTTTAATAAGTCTTTAAGCTTTTATGAGTTATAAAACTGAGCTCATTCTTTTTGGGGGCATCTCTGATTTTGCTTTGATATTATTAGTAAATTGAAACTTACTGTGAGAATTTTTAAACTGTTTCCATTAAAATTTGGATTTGGTATTGGAGAAAAAAATTATTCCACATACCAAGTAATTTTTAAAATTATATTTTTCATTATAGGAGAAAGATTTGATTTATTTTACAGCTACACACAGGAAATTTATTTTCAAATAACATAAATATATATATAATCCATTTTGATAATGTTAAAAATCAACTGCATATTACTCTTCACTGGTGATTGATCCTCACTAACCACATTCAACAGGAGTATGAAGAATTTGGGATCATTGATCCATTTAAGAGGTAAAATGTACTAATGTTAACTGCAAATCTCATAACTATTGCCTTAGTTCCCCAGTTATTCTGTTTTGATGAAAAAGTCTTGGAGTAATATAAGCTGATCTGAGAAGATTCTTTGTTAGCTGCAGGGCAAACAGGTTTCAGATGCCAGGCATTAGTAATGAGCTCCCCCTCTCCATTTCCCAAGGTGGAGACTAAAGCTTCAGCTCATGTACCAGTTTTACTTGGGGAACAGGGATGTAACCCAAGATTGTCCGTCAAAGAATCCTGTGACCTTGCCTGGGATTCTTGGTGGTGTGCACCGGAGACCACTTAATGGTGTTTATCATGGGTGCAAGTGAAGCGAGGATGGCCTTTTCATTGCATATTTACTGTCTCTGGATGGACCTGCTTTGCATGTTTTTGGAACTGCTACAGTGTCATAAGTATGTTTGTGTACTTGGTATTAAGTCAGTCCATCCTTTTGGTCTTCAGATGTAAAATAAAGCGAGTACTCTAGCATCTTGCTTTTTCTGCTACCTCTTCCTTCTTTTATTGCTTTTACTTTTTCATATAGCTTGCACTACAATAGAGGGCCCTAACACAATTGTGTGATGTTTCTCTGGAATTCACTTCTCCTGCATATTAGAAGGGACATGTCAGAGTGGAAATCAGGAGACAGAGCTTTAAGTTGCTACCTAGTTACTCAGTCTAGCCGTTGAGTCTTGATTTCTTTAGCTGTAGTATGTGAAGAGTGTTTACTATCTTTCCTACTGGTCATGCTGTCCAGGTGGACTGAGGAGATAATATATGTCAAAGGAATTTACTATTAAGTGCAAATGTGGAGAATTATTATTTTTAGTTACATTTTTTGGCATGAGTTATAAAAATTTAGTATCAAAGTTGAATATGGAAGTTAGTATGAAAACATTTCTGAGATCTGTTTTCTTAAGTGTTACTATAAGAACAGAATATTTTGCTGAGTTAACACACCTATAATATTCAAATAACAGAACTAAACAAAAAAAAGGGGATACAGATGAATGTCCATTTTGTATCTGTGAATTCAAAATGGTTAGGATAGTTATATAGTTACATTCTCTTAATGAATAGAGGGATTTGTTCTAATAGT